TCACATAGGTCCTGTTAGGGTCCCTGGCTGGGGACCTCGGGATGATGGTCATCGATGGTCAGAGACACTGAGCGATATGGCTGGGTGTCGTAAACAGTGGCGTTCGTGCATCTCCTCAATTTCTTTGCAACCTTAGACCACTGAACTTCTCCATTTTCTTTTCGACTCCACTTTAAACTTTCCTTTCTTCTCCTATTGTTCATCCAAATGGGCAGCCAAAAGACAGCAACCAAAACCGGAGCACGAAAGTGTATGGTTAATGGTTGTTCAAACTGAAACTGAACTGAAAACTTTCAATATCACTATACCAGAGCCTTTGTCGGGCCGTACCATTACTATTTTATCATCATTCATTTAAATGTTAACCTGCACATAATCTTTGGTGACTTTAACCATACTGTTACTTATCCTCTTTTATCATTGGGTATGACACACCTTTGTCACTCTCCCACAAGAGGTAATTCTATACTAGACAGAGAAATCACCAACCACCAAGCCCTTTTTTCTTTAGCGCCAAACGCGTCTATTTTCTCTAGCGACCCTTGTTTACTCACGACCACGCTCAACCTATTGAGGCCTTATGTGATTTACTACAAGTCTCTGGGTTGGGTTGACGGTCTTTTCTCATACCTCATACGATCAAGACCACCTACAGAAATCAAATAATACGCTCTCTACTTACAAAATCACAACACTCCATAGCCGTCACCAACATTTGTAGTTTAAATCGAAAAGTTTATTCTATACACCATTTTCTCCAATCTTCTCCCTTGTCTTTATTTTTGACGGAGACGTAAATCTCTTCCTCGTCAGATACTACTCATCTTCGTTTCCGTAATTACTTCCTCCATTCTGCTTTTCTTTCTAAAGCTGGTGTCTGTGCCCATATCCATCATTCTGTCGCTTCTTCCCGACTTTCGCACTTAGACTACTCTAACTGCGAATTTCAGCTTATGTGGCTGAAACTTCGATTCCCTTCTTTCAACCACTATTTTGGTACTGTTTGCCGCTCCCCGAGCAACAGCGATTTTTCTACTTTTTATATTATCTTCCATCATTGAGACACTAGTGGCGGCAGATCCTAACAGCCGAATCACCATTGTCGGAGATTTCAATGTCCACAACAAGGAATGGCCAAAGCACTCCTCAGAGACTACGTTCATGGGACCCGAAGCCGAGGCTTTTGCTGTGGTCAACAATCCAAGTCAACTAGTTGACTCCATCAAACGCATCCCTGATCGTATTGGTGACTGTGCGCACACCCTTGACTTCA